TCCCCTTCAGGAGCCTTCTCTTCTCCAGCTGACCCAGCCCAGCTCTCTCAGCCTGGCCCCAGAGCAGAGCTGCTCCAGCCCTCGCAGCAGCTCCATGGCCTCCTCTGGTCTCGCTCCAGATGAACCCATAGGTGAGGCAGGGGAGGCAGCTGCCCACCACAGACCCAGGAGGCGGAGAGGAAAACCAGGTGAGGCCTCTTGGCCAGGGAGAAATCTTCTGTTTATAACCAGCAAGTTCCTGCACTCTTTAACCAAAACCCTTCAGGGCTTGGCCAGTTCCCAGGCTCACTCCTGCCCCAGACCCCTGCAGGCACAAGCGTGAGAGCAAGGGCAGCAGCGGGAGGAAAGAGGCTTTGCAGGAGCTGCCTGCTCCGCTACAAGGAGCTCTTTGGAAATTAATTAAAACAAAGCTCTGGGAGCAGCCCATCAATTGTGCTGCCTGGTTCATCCCTCCTCCTCCCCTCAGCCAGCCGCCTCAGGGCATGAGCTACAGCAGGGGGGATAGCCTTGAGAGAGATGCTGCCGTCTAATTACATCCCACTCCCCCTGCAAAACAGATAAACACACACTGTGATTTCATATATCAGTTTCATGTGTTTATTTAGGGACCTATAAAATCAGGCCCTTGAAACCATCTCTGGTAGCATCATGTACTGCAGAAGGCACCTGGATCCTACCTGGAGCGCTGTGAATCCTCTGCTGTCTTCATGGCCTTTTCTTTACTGAAAGCTTCTTAGCATTTCTGGGGTGCTTCCCCACTCCATAGAATCCCAGACTGGTTTGGGTTGGAAGGGAGCTTAAAGCTCATCCAGTTCCAGCCCCCTGCCACAGGCAGGGACACCTTCCACTAGAGCAGGTTGCTCCAAGCCCCTGTGTCCATCCTCCAGCATCCCTCTCCATGGCACGATGGCAGGGACCCAGGGAAGGCAGCCGTGGTCCTTTGGTGGAGGCTTTGATCCCTGCATCATGCTGTGGAGGAAGGCAGCAATGGGTGCTGTAGGCAGCCAGCATGGAGCACTGATGGTCCTAGGGTTCCACGTCTGCCTTTCCAAATCATTTCTCTCTGTGCAGGAATTACAGCCAAGAGAACAAAGGCAGCTGTGTGCTTTTATGCAAAGAAGCTGCAGCCAGGAGGGTTGTTCAGAGCAGGGATCACACCCTGCAGGGATTTCTGTCTTTTTAAGGGAAACAGGAACAGCCACTGATTGCTAAACTGGCCCTAGAGCTATGTGGTTGGTGGGGAGGGCAAACAGGGTGCTCCCAACAGGCTCCAGTGCACCACCAGCAGGTCCCTCCTCCCCTGGGAGCTGGCTGTGGGATGAGGCAGTTGGAGATGGGTGCTCCAGGGATGCTCCAAACCATCCAACCCTGTGCCAGCAGGTGCTGCAGGACTCTGATTTCCTCCCCAATTCACATAAACCTCAATGTCCTTCACACCACTGCAGCTCCCTGTCGTGCCCCCATGTCACCGCTGCTCCATCACCCTGTGCCCCCAGGGACCCAGCCTGGCCGGGGTGAGGGCTGCCCATATTGAAAGCACAATACTTATGGAGAAGGAGAGGTCAGTTAAAGTTTAATGTTCAGGGCAATACATCATTCTCTGCACTTAATCAAGCAGCAGCCATTCCTATCGATAAGCAGAAAGGATGGCTCGCATCCCGGTGATAAAGAAGCAGGATTGCTCCGAGTTTGGGCAATAAAAGGGCTCTGTAAAAATTGGATGTTTTGTACCATGTTCAGCTTGAGACAACTTTATCTTGTGGTGATGGTGCAGCTGGGGGGTCGGGGCAGTGCCACGCCAGGCCTTGCACCGAGACGTTTATGATGGGGGATACAGCAGAGATGGGGAGTTTGTGGCCAGTGGAGGGGGCAGGAAGATCCTTCTCTCTATAAACCCAGTGGGGAATTTGGGAGGCAAAGCTCCTTCTTACGGACTGGGTGTTGTAGAGAGGGAGAAAACACGCTGGAGTGCCTGGAAAAGACCCTGTGCTCATTTCTGGTCCCCTATGACTTCATCTTACCGCAGGCACGGCATCACCATCACTTGTGCATGGTTAAGTTCTGCAAAAACCCTTGCTCGGGGTTCAGCACACAGGGCTCTGCCAGCAAAGATCGTAGATTCACAGGATGGTTTGTGTTAGAAGGGACCTTAAAGCTCATCCAGTCCCACCCCCTGCCACGGGCAGGGACACCTTCCACTAGAGCACGTTGCTCCAAGCCCCTGTGTCCAACCTGGCCTTGAACACTGCCAGGGATGGGGCAGCCACAGCTTCTCTGGGCACCCTGTGCCAGCGCCTCAGCACCCTCACAGGGAAGAGCTTCTGCCTTATCTCAGCCTAAATCTCCCATTTCAGTGTGAGCCCAGGTTTAAGCTTGGCCAGAGGAGGCCAGAGGACACGGCTGCTGCCTCGGGGCCACATTAAACTTGCTGTGCCCAATGCTCTTTGTGCCCAAGGGCTCCCGGGGCTCACTCCCTCCCAGCAGGCAGCCAGCCCCAGTGCCATTGGAAAACCTCTGCGTGGCCCAGGGAAGCTGGGGGGGCTCTCAGCAGCCTGTGCCTCAGGGCAGACTTAGCCCGGGCACCTCCACCATCACCCCTGCTGCGCTCCAGGGGCTTTCCTAGAGCAGCTCAAGGAGAAGCAAGAGGACAGCAAGGTCCTTGTAATGGTCCTAACCCCATCCTCTGCTGCTGTGGACTTCTGTGAAACAGCTCTGTGCTGCCATCAAAGCAGTGGGGGGGAAACACCCCTGGAGGCACTCAGGTCATTAGTGCTCAGGGCAATTAGGGCTGGGTATTGAAGCCTTAAAAGCTCTGGGTTTCAGCATCCACCTGCATTTACTTCCCATGTCCTCAGCGACCTTGCTCAGACCCAGGGAAACAAGGTTTGGCTTTATCTTTGCTCTTTCAGTGCCCCTGACGCAGTTTGGGGCTTACAACTCAAGGTGTTGGTGCACCCAGTGAATGAGAACAGGGATGAGGAGGAGTCCCTGGGTCGGCACCAGCCTGTGCTGCCCCTGCCATGGTGGCAACACCTTCAGGCAGCCCCCAAAAGCCCCTCACATGGGGCACTGGGTGACACCCCTTGCTCCTGCTCCGAAGGACCCTGTGTCCTGGGCAGCAGCTCTTGGGGCAGATGACCCTGGGCAGCCCCATCCTCTTCCTCACCCAGGGACATGGCACCTGCTTGGGGTGTTCTGGGGCACAGGGCTCCCATCCCATGTTCACACTGAACCCCTGGAGCAGACACTCACCCACAGCACATATACAGGTATTTTTCCTTTCAGTGCGCTTTTATTGCCACTCCTTCCACAGCCCCTAGAGTTGGATTCCATCCCAGTGGGAACAGGGGCTCCCAGCCCTGCCCGGGATGAGGA